CAGAGCAAAGGGGCCATGAGCTCATTCCATATCTTCATGTTAATGTCAGGCTTTATCTGCTGCTATTAGAGCTGGGGCTCAACCTTTGCTGTTCCTTCCTAAATTGTAATTAAGCTGTGATTTTTATTTTAGCATGAATCATAATCTGATATTTAGAAAGAGCATCACTCTCTGAAAAAAAAAACGAGACTGCTGCTTTAAATTTCCCTCCAGGAAGTGTCCTTTACTTTTACTATCCTTCTTTACACCAAGCAGCCTGATAAGAGGGGAAAAGTGAAGAACTGCTGATAAAAAATCTGTGCCAGTGATGGTATCATCCCAAAGCCTTCTAAACACTTATAAAAATATCTGCGAGAGGACATTCAAGTTACACCGCTAGGGAAACGATAACAATAAACAAACATAGTGTAATTACCCACAATACCACAAGATTACAAGGCTGTGTAGCTAGAATTGCCCTAGTGACCACAAGAAGCTCAGCCCCGCTGAGTGCTACTGCTGCTGAAATGTTCACCTGTTTAAGCAGGAGGAGAAGCCTTTTCACTGTTCAGACTTACAAACTAAACAGCAGAAACTCTATAGCTGTACTTTTTCTAATTATTTTTGTAAGCTCACAGATAGTTCAAACTAGGTAAAACCCTTCCTCAAAATCAAGTTGTGCCTGATATTATGAAAGTAAACAGTGCTGTGCTTTTTCATTCCCTCTGGCATTGCTCAGTGTGTTAAAACATGTGTGACAGTGGTTGAGGTTTCTGACCACTGACAGGACTTTCACCAACTAGTGGAACCAGCCCGAAGGCAGCAGCAGCGGCAGCAGCAAACCGTGACATTGACAAAACACTTCCTATGCAGCGGGCGGAAAATGACCCCACCTCCGCTCATATTCCCCCAGGCCAGGTGATCCTCAGCCCCACCCTTTGCAGACTGGTCCGCAAGCAGCCAGCTGAGCTCTGAGCGCCTGCCAGGAAAACCGCCGACACAAACCCATATCCTGAGGGCAGCAGCCAAAACCAACTGTTGGGGGTGGTGTTTACCAATAAGGCTGCGCCGTGAGGTTTTAAGGCTAAGGCTTGGGGTTAAACTGTAGCAGACAGTTGGTGTACGCCAAACATTATGGCCAACATATTGGGAAACCACTGGGGGAAATGTAAGCTTACAAAGGAGACCTTTCAAGATCATGCATCGTCTATGCCGTACCACCAGTTACAGCAAGCTAATTAAGCAAGAACTCGCATGTTCAAATACAAACAAAGAGAAACAATAAAAAGTGCAGCTTTTTATAATTGTAAAAAAACAAACAAAAATGAGTTCTCAATCTTGCTTGAAAAGACAGAGAGGCACTGGCAAACAGACACCCGGTATCTGCTTGATCTCTATCCAACCAATCTCAGCCAAAATTAGCAATGTTCATGCTTTTAGTTACTCGCAAAATCGCATTATGCCCGTGGTGCTGTGGGCGAAAATGCTTTTAATACACATTACCCCCGCTCCAAATAAGATAAAGTACCACTCTTGAGAGGAAATTTGTTACTGTGTGAGGGCAAACTTGCTTTGAATGTTATTTGTCTATTCATCAATCAGAAAAAAATGACAAACATCCGAGGCTGGCAGTCCGATTGTTCAATGTCCCGAGCACTGAAGTAAAACAGTGGAAGACAAGGCAAATAAAATTCCGGTCTGCAGAGGGTGAAAAGAAGCTGCATCAGTCTAAATTGTTCACCCTAATAAACCTGTCATGTCAAACAGTGTGATGTCTTTGTTTTTGATTAATAAATATACTAATTTGTTCTTATCACATTGCAGTAAACTCTGGGTTATCATCAACCCCTAAAGCCCTACACATATCCTCAATCCGTCCTCGGATTGCTCTGTCAGAATGTGCCACCATGTTTGTTTCTTTGGTCCCTCATCACAGGACCAAATTACATCTTTATGACGGGCCATGTCAAAAACCAAGGTCCTGGTGGGAGACTTTTTTTTGACAAGGGGACAGTAGTATTAGAGCCCTTTATTCAAAGTACAGAGACAATACAGCTATTGAGGCACAAACTGCAAACATCTATATCCTATGCCCATCTAACTTCCCATGACACACAACATCTCTGAAAGTGACAAAGAACAGCTATGCCTGAGAGGAATGGGCAAGAAGATAACGCCCCCTGTGTGTCCAATATCTTCATTTTAAGGGGTTTTAAGGCTGGTCTCGATAATTCTGAGGTAAGAAAAAAACAAAGAGGATAACGCCCTGTGTTGGCCCAACAGAAGCAACCTCTGCACGGCTAAAAGCCAAGATTAAGTTACAGCATAAAGCGTGCACCAAAGTTTAACACAGCAACAAACACAGGGAATTACTAAAATCACTAATCAGGGAAAAGCAATCCTTCCTACTCACTGATTCAGCCAAGACAGAAGTCATTGAAAGGAAAGGTTTTTGTTTTTTTTATGATTCTTATGTAAGATTCACTTGCTCCTCAAACTTCTGCGATCTGCTGTGTAAATGCAGGTTCTAAGGAAATACTGTTGTGTCATCAAAGTAATCCCGATTTAAGAGCTTGTATTAAGCTAATTGCAACAAATGCAATCCCTCTAAACCAAGACAAAAGGGTGGGAGGCTGCCATTTATTTTCAGCTCTGTGCTGGAACGTCTTTAATTTGTTTAGACATAACAGCAGATCACAAGGCTGATTTTGAAGTCCTGTAGATTTGATTAGAAATGATTGTAGAAAGCATATAGTAGGCTTCCTTGTTGATGAACAAGATGCAAATGTGCTTAATTTGTTTTACAGTCAAATCCTACAGGTAGTTTAGGTACAGGTAATTGAGATTTCCTTTAAGCTTCACATCTATTTTACATTCAGGATGAACGTAGAAAAGTCGGCCTTGTTGCAGAGACGTTCTTTTATGTCTCTGATTAACTTACAGCCACAGGTTGCACACATTCTTTTGCAAAGCAGCACTCAAAAAACTAAAACTTCCAACCCAGAACACGGAAAGTTTTTTCATCCACTAAATCGGACAGGACTGGGCTTAAGGTACCCATAATGGGATCACATTAGGCCACAAGTCAAATTGTCCATTCTTGTCTCTCTGGGTTCACGGCGATAAGTCGGCCAATCTGGCTCGTTTACAGATCCCATAGGAGCAGAGCTTGTTCCCTTTGAGCTACCTGCCAACATAATGTGACTATCTCGAGTCATGTGGAAATATTCAACTGAGGTGTTTTAAAAGATCATTCAAGCCATAAAGCCATTCCCTTTGAAAACAGCGAGATTGCGGGCGCTTATATCTCGACCAATAAGGTTTGGCTGAAATAACAGGAGTAGGACACTCTTTGCACAAACCAGAAGTTTGAGAGCAGCTGTTTAGGACAGGACATTTGTCCAACAGTAGTTGTCCATTGTCCATTGGTCCGTGGGTACAGGAGACGCAGTGTGTGTCTACGTGCATGCATGACAAACAGTGTCTGCACTTGAACTTGGCTAAGTGGTGCTTCAGGGCAATGAGGCTACCCGGGCACAAGTGCCGTTATTCATGTTTTTAGAGGACTTTTTAAAGTTGCATTCCTCACTTCCCACGGGGAAGAAAACACAGGAACCTGGGAGCCGAGGAGTCTTTTGGTCTTTAACCCCACATTCCCAGAAACACAGACACACACACACACACACACACATGCAGAAAAAAAAACTCTATAACAAGATGTGGAATTGTCACAATAGCCACTGGACATAGTGGTTGCAATAAAATGCAGGAGAGCCAAAATGTTGATTGGGAGGACAGAGAGTCGTGTTGTGTGTAAATAAATTGTGTCATTTAGTTTGATAAGTGTTGAAGTTCACTAAACACTGAGGGATGTTCCATAAAAATGCCCCCAAATTGGCTCGTTTCCTAGATTGAGAAAGCAAACAGGGCAACTTTTGTCGGTCTTATCCGGACGAGTCAATGCTTTGAATATTTCCAAGAAATGCAATTTGTGAACTGTGGCTGGAAACAGAGAAGAAGAAAAAAAAAAAAGGAGGTAATACCTGTTGTGAATCTGTCTGAATAAAGGGGAGGATTATTTCTTTATCACATGTTTGGCTCTATTTTTCAATCCCATTCTAACATGAGAAACATGAAGACAATCTAGGTAAATTGTGCATGTTTACTATCTGTGCTTCAGCGCCTATGAAACACATTCGAATGTATCGACTGCAAGAGATGGTAAGTCATGGCATGATGCATTTTGCTATAAGGCTCAGGGTTTATCCGAGCTGGAGATTTAGTTCAAATAAAATCCATACTAAGAGGAAATAAGAAGAGGAAAATGCTGCATTTGTTAGCATCTTTAATACTTGAATGTGCCCCTGACGAGCTAAATAAGAGCTCAAAGTCGCTCTATGTTTGTGCCTGCCCTCCATTAGTTATCATTACACCTGTCAAAGTGCTGCAAGTCATTCAGCTACATTAGAAAGTTCAAAACGAGCAAGCACCTTATAAAGTCAGTTGAATTAAAGAGACCGTGGATACTTGAATAGCAGATTTGGATGTTTATTGAATGAATAAACAGTCTTCCTGCTGTGCTTTTGTTAAATGGAGGGGGGGGGGGCAAACTCACGAATTGGTGAACAATTCTTATCATGTAACAACATGATTTATGTCTGAACTGTCTGTGCAGACAAGTAGAAAATATGTTAGTTGCAGGGTGTCCCTGTGCAAAAAAAAAAAAAAGGGGGACTAGTTCTTTTTAACACTTGCTAAGAGTTAGAGGGAATAAACACTCCTCATCTTGTTACAGCTGACAGACAACATTATGCAACTCAAATGCAAAACCACAAACATCTCCTCAGATGGGATTCCCTCTGAGAAAACCCCGTTTAAACACAGACATATCGACTAATCACTATCTATGTGTGTTTTTAAGAAAAGCTTTCTGTGCTTTAATGAACTTTTCTGTACAAACTCTTGTTGCCCCCCCGTTATGGACTGGTCAATAAATAGGCAGCAAGGGCATCTTTACTTACAAGGAGACGGTCCGGACTGGAAGGTCCAGAGGCGTAGCTGTCAGCTCCTGGTTACTACAGTCCACTGAGTCTCCGCTGCACGTACAGTTCTGGGCACACGGCAGGTCCGAGCTCAATCCACGACCGATAAACAGTTCGAGCGACAATATTAAATAAAAAACACAACGTGAAACATATCCAAATCGTCCCAGTGACGCCGCCATTTTGTATCCAGCTTTAATAGCGCGGCCGCTGCGCCGTCTCCTCGTACCCGCAAACTGTGATTACGAAGGCAGCTTCGGAGAGATTAAAAGCCTTTACAGCATGTTTGCGGTCCTCCTCGTGTAAAACTGAGGCTAGCATAAACGGTGGTGTAGTAAAATGTTGTCCATTGCAATAACAGTCTTTACAGGACAGGAGTTTCCCACTCCAACTTTCTCCTCTGGTGTCCGACGCGGGCTAAAAGAAAAAAAAATCAAAAAGGTGATTCACATTAAAGCCAACAAAAGTAGGCTACAACGGACTGGTGTAGCACCGAAGTTGGCATTCAAGTTTCTTAGAGTTTTCATAAAGGCTTAACCTTACTTTCTGGTTAGGAAAGCTTACATGTTTGAAGACATGAAACAGTGTTAAAGGACACTGCGCCCGGAGAGCTCTCAAAATAACTGTAGAGCAACACTGTTTCAAAACTTAGCCAGAGAGTTGCACTGTCTTATTACGCAGTTATTATATGTCCACTACAAATTTTGAAGACGTAGGGAATAACTTAAGACACTTAAGGATAGTGTCCGGAAAGAAAAAAAAACTCCAGCGTTTCTCTCTCAAGCCGAGAGCTGCATATCCAATCCCAGCAGCACTTCACCTCTGATAAATCCAACTTTGGAAAACCCCACGGTCCACCGAGAAGAAGTCAGCCAACAGCTTATCAGGTGCAGTCTGTGGTCACAAAATCTCCACGATCTGATTAAAAGCAAAATACAGTACCCCCTCCTTCCGAGCGTGCACCACCACCATGAGTTTTTTCCTTTCTTGAGTTACTTTTCCTTTTTTTTTTTTTTTTCCTGGGTGATCGTTCCGTAGTCCCACGTTGGATGCACAACAGCGATTCCAGGGTCCTCCTTTAGGTTTGCTGCGATTGGCTGTAAAGGCTTAATGGGCGGAGCAAGTCTTAACCCGATTGGTCGTTTCAAGTTCCTCCGGCACCAGGGTGTACGACAGAACCGTGAGCGCCTGTCAGTCAGCGGCGGCTGGCCCCGCCCATGTTTCCCACCCCGGGGTGTGAAACCGCACCACCTCCTCTCACTCTCACTGCTTCTTAAAGGGACAAATCACCGGGATCAAGCTCTGTAATCGCATTATAACAAGCCATAATAACATAATTGGTTTGAATGTAATAACAATGCCATTGGAAGTGTTTGTAGGTGAGACTGACATCAAGATTTACATGTTCAAAGAAAAAGTCAAGAGAGGAAGCAGTAAACAATATGGTCCATTTCCTGCGATCCTCAGGTCATTTGAAAGAGAAAGCAACTAGTGTTACTCTACTTAATTCAACTGTGTCACTACCTGCTATCAACTTGGCACATTAATGCAAAATGATCAATCAAATGTCAATCACATTTTGAATTCAACACTGTTTTTTTAAAAGTGGCATTACTCTTTCAGCTTATCTAGTCAGTATATGTTTTGCTGCAATTTGAAGAATTCACTTTGAATTTAAGCCTGTTGGTGTGCGCCCTATTAAAATTATTGATTAATTAATTAAATCAACCAAAAAACCAATCCCTCAACACAAAAAGGAAACATGACTAATATTGAGAACATGACTTTGTCTGTGGGCTGAGTCTGAAATAAGTAAAATGTTAAAATTGAAGTAGTACACTTATTAAGTCTACTTGTACTTGAAAACAGTGAAGGCATCCACTTAAAAAAACACTTAATTTATGACTTATCCTTTCTTGAGTGAATAGCTAGCTAGTTATTAGTTCATTAAAAAAATATACAATTTTTGATTAAAGCATTGATTTTTATTACCAACAACAACAGCAACAATGTGACATTTGTGCTAATTTCATGGAGAATAGATTTTCTCAAACTGTGTTTTGATCCGATATCATTTTTTAAAAACATTTCTGAATCTTCAAAGTAAAACGACATTGGGTGAAATCAACTTAATTGCGTAAAAAGTGAAATATCTGGTTAAAAAATGAGAAGAATAGAAGAATGAAGTTCAGAAATATTCAGGCAAATTTTTTTTGCCTGAAGGAACTAGGAAAGCTTGGTAAATGTGTAAATCCCACTACTCGTATGAAGTATTTGTTGTTAAAAATCAGCTTCTTGCAAGTCCAATGCTGTTTGCAAGTTATTGCATCTGGAAAATTCCAGTTATAAAATATAGACTTATTAGATGTTTCTGTTTAAACTACATGATACAGACTTTTACTTTGGGATACTTGTTTATACTCTGGTACTTTACTCGCGCATTTTGAACTTTGAATGGACAACTTTAATAAACAATGGGGCAATTTAAAGTGCAGCAACCTTATTTGGCTTCAGCGCATCAGGATACATCTCTCACCACTGCCTGAGTATTGAGCAAAACTAGTTTTATGCAGGTGTGTCTGAGCATCTGTGTGCATGACTGTGTGCTAACTAGGTGTGTTATTCCAACACTTTATGTGTTGGAATAACACACCTAGTTAGTTTGTATTTCATGCATTCAGACTGCTCTTTTCAGCACTTAAATGCCCTCTATATTGGCCACATGATAGCACAAAATCCTTCCCAAATGTTGAAGTCGTGTTCTCCCTGTTGTCTCGAAAATGCACAACTGTGATAAATCAGGGGTCCTGTCAGCCGCCTGGCCCCCACAAACCCTTCTTTTCTCAACACGTTTTTCTCCTCGCCTTGACAGATCAGATTGATTGATTTTGTCAGAGCTATTGTGATCCCTTCGTGTTGGGAAATGTCCCAGATTTCATTGCTATTAATCACAGTAGGACTCAGATATTCACACCTGTAACACTGCAGGCTGTTCAGTGGCACAGTTCCTCGTTCCTTTTTCTTTTTCTTTTTTTTTATCATTGAATAGGTAAAGGTTTCACATTGCATCTTGTGTGTGTGTGTGTGTGTGTGTGTGAGCTATAGCAAGCAACGTAGCCTATATGTGAGGCCTCCAGCTCTTAGAAGAGGGGGAAATATCTGAGAAATGAGACCCTGTTAAAACATGACTTCATTGATGATGGGAGTAGACATTTAATTTGTCCAGAAATCACAACACTTTGAGAATTGAGAGTTGGAAAATTCCTTTAAAGAATTCTAATTCTAAGAGGATCAAAGAATCAGAAAAAATATTCCGAAATGCAAAATAACAAAAACTTCTTCTAAGAAGAGAGTTTCTTTTGGCAACTTTCCAAAAAAAAAGTTTGATTTGATTGATGTAGAAGCAATACTTTTAGTTAAGCACTGACATCACTCATGCCCACTTTGATTGATAGCTTAGCTTGATAAGGTTTTTTATGCGATATGATGCAATACATTTATTGTTTCTCATCCAAAACCAAAAGATTGCTATCTAAGTTCCCAGCAAGAAAGTAGAAAGAAGAACTGAATTGACGTGTGTTGGATTTCTGTCTTCTTTTAATCAGATTGGTTTCACATTTCATTCTCACCTCATTATTCCACGCCTCATATGTCTTCTGCATATCTTCAGCACAAGTTTGTAACATAAGGTCTACAATTGCAGCCACCCCGAGAGTATATGCTCTGCCCAGCATTTTGATGGCCCGGGTATTTGGACCAGGTACTTTAGGGGCTCTATTTTGAGAAGATTGTTGACACGTCTTTTAATGTGATTTATTTGGTGGATGACCTGCTCTTAATGACTTGGCACAAAAATAACTTCACTAATGCAGCAGGCAAATACCAGGTTTACATTTTTGACTCAAGCCATGGGTTAGAGGGACAATGAATGTGAATGTTGTTAAACTTGCTCTAATGAACAAAGCCCTCTATCCTCTAATACAATCGTCTTTGATACAACTTTTGCACCTTGTGTTTCAAATGTCTTCCTTGTTATAGCGAATGTTGCATTGTTAATCTACATCCGAATAAAAAATAACAAAATATTTGACATTGTTGAGCATAAAGTAAGCAATAAGCACTAAAAGCCTACCAATTCTCTTATGTTGTAGTAAAATAACTACATTTTGACATGGCGTGCACATTTTTAATCAAATTCCTCTCGTTAAATTAAGAATAAATGTATGCAAAGTCATTTGCGTTTTTCTTTAGGGCGTAGACATTTCACATGCCACCATTGTGAGGGTTATTTCTCCCCGGGTATGGATTGATTTATAATCTGAAAACCAGAAGAATTCACATTGTAAGGAAAGCATTAAGGGCTTTCTGCTACCATAACTAGTCTGCCCCTCCTGTGATGAGCTGCTGTGTGAAGCTGTGACTGATGAGAAGAGTGGACATGAGTCTGTCATGAGAGTGCATTGTAAAGGGGATAATGACTGCACCAGATGAGATGGGTGTTTTTTTTTTGTTTTTTTTGTATAGATGTTTTTAAACCAACCATATTGGTGTGTACACAGCTGGAATGGAATGAAAGTGTCAACGCAGACATGTCTAAAGTTTTTTTGGGGAGCTGCTATTTGAAAAGTGAAAGCAGAAGCTTCATAGGTGTACTTGATGAGTCAACATAATGTTCACATTTAGAGTTTTTTTTTTCTTCTGGTGCTTGACTAGGCAACGTGATGGCGTTGCGGCTGAATGTGTAAAGGCCTGGAGCGATTCATCACGCTCGTCTTACTGGAGTCTTCAAAGATAAGAAACCATCTGCTGTGGCTATTCATCAACTATAAAATGGAGAGGCGTGAAACTCGGCCAAGTCATCATACTGAGACTGGATGGCTAACGGGTGTTGCAGGAGCGTGGAGATGCTTTTTTGCTAATGGGAACCAGGAACGGTTTAGGCACTTCTGTCAATACCAGGCTGCCTGCTAAGTAGTGTGCATGCAGAACCTACAAGATGATAGCATGAAGAGGGGGGGGAAATCACAGAGAGACAGATGTAGAAAAAGAATATAAGACGATAACATGCAGCACAATAGTCTGGAGGGGAAAGAGGCCAGCTTTTACATGATGTATACAAATCCTCGTGTCTAAAACCATTTTAAAGGCTTCTTCTGACTACATCAAGTTCACATGTTTTATAATCTGAGAAGCACCCTTTGGGATTATATCACGATCAGGTGATCAATGATGTCCACTGGCTCTCGAGCTGTGATGGGCATGGGTTAAAGGACGTTACTTAAATAGAACAGTGCTAAAAAAATTTTTTTGCAACGTATGGTGTAAGAATTTGTTGTAGAGTTTAGTTATTAAACCATAGTTTTTATTTGGATTTTGGTTGATTTGCTCTTTCAGTAGAAGTTTTCTCGATGGTGGGGTTTGAAGACACGGGGTGGGGGTAGAGGTGGGGCTTAGGAAATCTTGCATGGAGTCACGGCAGATTTAAAAGCTTTGAAGTTTGGTCACGTTAATTTGTATTCCCACTTAGCCTTATGGCTGCAAATGCCTTTGGTTCATCACTAAAAAGAAACAGAAATAACCCTGTTGTCCCGCCACTATTTTTGGTTCATGTTGCTCAAACCCTCTGTATGTTTTATATTAGATTAGAATGTAGAAGTCGGCATTTTTACTGATTTTCTTAATGATTTGTTCTCCTCTTCCCCATACAGTAGCCTACACTGATATCAAAATATGGTGTCCAACAATAGTTTCTACTGAAACTAAATGTCACAGAAGAGCAATGTGCTGCAGAGTGCGCCGACAGTGTAAAGTTAATCAAAGCTAGAAAAATATGAGCAAGAAGTGTTATTCAAACAAACATTGTAAGACACTGTTAAGTTTTATTTAAAGTTACCAGTACAAACATAAATAAAGTAGTTTCCTGTTAGAGATCAAGGTTTCTCTGACACTCTGTGTGGACACAATGTCATGAAAGGCTGAGCGCTGAACTGCCACTTACGTTAGCTTAGCTTGCTTTGAGATGCTCACTT